TAAATAATGGCAACAAATGTACATATGTGCTTGACACAATGGATGTATGTATGGATTGTGATAAGAATTATACGAGCGCCCAATAAAATGATTTTTAAAAAAAAGAAACCTCTGCTGTACGATAGCTCCTTAAAATGTTACAGAGCAAGGATGCCTGTTGAGGACTAAGGTGAGCCTGACCCTAATCTTCAGTTCCCTCATAGGCATGTGAGAGTGAGAAAATGAGTAAGCTAGACTAGAAAATAATTGAGCATGTGAAAGTGAGACAGAGTAATCAAAAGTAGAAAAGAATTAATGCCTTTGAATTATGGTATTGGCAAAGAATTTAAATATATGATGGGCTGGCAGAAAAATAAACCAGCCCTAGAGGAAGTACAACCAGAATGCTCCTCTGAAGAAAAGATGACGAGACTTCAACTAATGTACTCTGGATATTTTATTGGGAGAGACTAGTCCCTGAAAAAAGACATCATGCTTGGTAGAAGGTCAACAATAAGGATGAACACCCTCAATGAGATCGACTGACACAGTGGCTACAATGTTGGGCTCAGTTACAGTAACAATTGTGAGGACGGTGTAGGACTGGGCAGTGTATACTGGGTTGCTTCTATGTGCCAGAGCTAACTGACAGCACCTTAACGAAAGGAGCAGTAACGTTTCAAGGTGGCACAAATGGTTAAAATTCAACTTCCAGACAAGAGGCTGGCAGTTCAAACCCATCTAGAGGCAGCTTGAAAGACAGCCGTGGTGGTCTGCTTCCAAAAGTGCATAGCCTTAAAAACACCATGGGGCAGTTGTTTCTACTCGGTATGTGGGGGTCACCGTGAGTGGGAATCAACTCATGGTAACTTAAAACAATAATGCTGAAAAAAAAAAAAATGCTGAAAGTGGGTGTGTCAGTCTGGGTACATTAGAGAAACAAATCCACAGAAACTTATTATATGTTTAAAAGAGAGAGTTTTATATAAAGGGTAAGTGCACATCAAGAAAACATTCCTACCCAGTGCTGTCCAAGCCGACAAGTCCAACATTAACCCATATGTCCAACACCGATCCACAAAGCCCTCCTCCATCTCACAAAACAGACGCAATGATGCCGACTGCAGGGGGATAGTCGAAATCAGTGAATGTGTAAGCATGTCAGCGCTGGCAGGGGTCTCCACACGGGTGCTCCAGCACCCAGGGCTGCATCCGGGTAGGTCCATGTGGCTTCTCCTCAAGGATGTCTTGCAGAAAGTGAGCCTGGCCAGCTCGAGCAGGGAACTGACTAAGGCAGCTGCACCCTGGTGTGACCATCACAAAGCAAGAGACCTGAGAACTAGAAAGGTGAGGCTCACCAAGCCATTTATCCCTCCGCCCTTCAATTAACCCCACGTGTTTATAGGCCAGGTGGGCACAATAAACCTTAACTATCTCAGTGGGTGACCAGATATACTGTGCAAAATCCTTAACACAAAGTCTGTATTTCTCATTATATTAAAAATGAAAAAATACAATGTTACATTTCAATTCTTAATTCCCAGTATTTTCTTAAATTTATCTAAAGCACCGGGGAAGCGGGGTTGCATCTTCTAAGAGTAAATATTATATTATGAATGTACAAAAACTCACTGCCATCTAGTTGATCAACAGGACAGAGTAGGGCAGACGATCTCCTATGGGTGTGAGAGGCTGTAAATCTTTTATGAGCAGAAAGTTTCATCTGCTTCCCATGGTCAGCAGCTTAACACAATCCACTATACCTCTGGGGTTTCTTTTAGGATGTATAATGAATACTATGTAAATTGATATGCAATAATTTTCTCATCTACTTTGCTTCTTTCCCCAAAATTTAACTTCCTCAATTTTTTTTCATTCTGTAGATCAAAACAAAAATGACAATAAAAGGATTCAGCCTTCAGTATGGATTACAACTCAATGGAAAGAAAAGCAAAATCATCAACTGGACCAATCAATATGGACTATTATGATACATGGAAAATAGACTGGAGTTGTCAATGATTGCATCTTGCTTGGATCCACAATTCTCATGGCAGCAGCAGCAAAAAAATAAAATAATGCATTACATTACTTAAGTATGCTACACAAGATTTCTTTAAAGTGTTGAAGAACAAGGATGCTATTTTGAGGACTAAGGTGTGCCTGCCCCAAGCCAGCCTATCTTCAATAGCCTCATATGCTGTGAAAGCTGGACAGTGAATAAGGAAAACCAAGTAGAGTCAATGTATTTGAATTATGGTGCCAGTAAGAACATTGTAAGTGCCATGGTCTGCCATAAAGGAGAACAATTTGTCTAGGAAGGAACACAGCCAGAATGCTCCTTAGAGGCGAAGATGTTGAGGCTTAGTCTCACATACTGCAGACATGCTATCAGAAGATCCGTTTCTGTGAATTGTCAAGAACTACTGATGGGAGTAAAACTTTACAGACGTCTACACACCTTATTGGTAATGTTAATAGAAACCAAGCTATTTATTACATTGTCTATTCGAGAATTTTGAAATATGGATCCACTATTTGTATTATGTCCCCTAATTTTAGTTTACTTTTTTTCTTTTTAACATTTTTACTTTTCAAGAGATATAAGTAAATGTGTTTACTTCATCTTTCACTTGAAATAATTAAATATGCTAATCCTCAGCATATTTACTTCATAAAATAACTCTGATAGCATAGTGGTTGTATATTGGGCTGCAATCTAAGGTCAACAGTTCAAAAACCATCAGCTGATCCTCAAGAGAAACAGTTTCAGAAACTCACTGAGACGTTCCATCATCCTATAGGATCACTATGATGAGTCGGCATCACCTCAATGGTAGTGAGTATGGTTTTATCTATTAATCATTGGCCTCTAAAAATCAATCACTCTAGTTGTTTTTTTTTTTACTTCTTTGTAAAATTGAGAAAAAAATACAACACAAAAGAATAGTAAAAATCAAAATGGGACAATTTCAAGAGTATCAAAATATGAGACTGCCACACAATATAAGAGAAATGGCCACTGTACATTATACATTGCAACTGACTTACACAAATTTCCTAAATAAAAATTAATCCACATAAATTCAAAAAAACAAACCTTAAAATAACCACCAAAGCTTACAAGAACAACTTGATTAGAAAAGAAAAACCCCAATAGTATTTATCTCACAAAAGAGTGAAAGGAAAAATATCTTACTAGAAATGAAGTGTCAGCAAAAAGTACACTGTGATCCTTGCAGACAATTCTTCTGTTCCTTTTTCACAAAGTGTCATTCTAAAAAAAAGGAGGGGATTGTGTTATTAATCACTTTAAGCTACCATTAAATATACATTTAATTGTGTTAAAATTCCACTGTGACTGGCATATAGCCTGGCATATATAGCACTGCCTCAAATATGAAGGGGACTTCAAAAAAGTTTATAGTAAAATCATCTTCAATTCTATTTGTCCACCAACTTTTTGAGGGTCCTTCCTGTATACTGAAAGATGTGGAATTTTTTTTCAATGATTTCAATTTTGATCATAAAAATAAGGTATTAGCCAACTGAGTACTTCTAATAGCACTGATTCATTTAGAGGTGGTGAGAAAAGCACTACTCATATTTTCAGTTATATTGTATACACTCCAAGATTCAAAAAATTGGTTTCTGAATTCCCGTGCACTTTTCACTTATACCACTTGATATCCTTTATAGTTCTCTGGCACACACATCCTACTGAATTTCTTAGTTTGATAACACAGTTGTAGACATTCATTGTATGATATTCTTTTTCAGAGGAAATTTATCAATAGATCAGTAACTTGCAGTCATAAAATGTTTATATTCATATATATTATTAACTTAGATTTGTACTTTTTCCTACCATTTAAAATAAGAGTGAAATCAAAATGAACATGAAATGCCAGAAATTATATGAAAGTGATCATTGTCAAGTATTCACATTAACAATAAACACTACGGTGCTTACTAACCAACGGGTTAAGCGGTTAAGTTCTGAAGTCATTGAAGTTGGAGGAACCTATGAAAGTGTTTCCTGAAATACTCTTTAAACCATAAACCAAAATAACTCATAAGTTCTTCTTAAAGCCATAAAATAGTTTGGCTTATGGCTTAGTGATTATGCATTGAGCTGCAAATCACAAGATCAGCAGTTCAAAACTACCAGCTTCTCCATGAGAGAAAGAGGTGACTTTCTACTCCCATTAACAGTTACAGTCTTAGAAACATACAGGGCAGTTCTACCCTATCCTATAGGGTCATTATGAATCGGAATTGGCACGAAGGCAGTGAGTAGAGAACCACCACTCATGTATCAGTTTCTTGCACTGTGGTGGCTGGCATGTTACTGTGATAATGGAAGCTATGCCATCAGTTTTTCATACGGCAGTAGGGTCACACATGGTGAAAGATTTCAGTGGGGCTTCCAAACTCAGATAAGGAAGGAGGTCAAGAGATGATCCACTTAAGAAAAAGGCTATCTTATCAACTGGAACGGAACTTTGTCATGCTACTACAATGCGAGTTGCTCAGGTTGGAAGGCATTAAAATACAGCTGGAGGAGAGATGCCTCCTTGAAGTAGTTGTTTTCAGGAACCATTAAGTCAATTTGGACTCAAAGCAACACAAAACACAGCAAAATAGAACACTGCCCTGGTTCTGCACCATCATCAAAATTGTTATTTTTGAGTCTATTGTCAGAGCCATTGTCAATCCATCCCATCAAAGGCCTTCCTCATTGTCACTGTCCTTCTACCTTATCAAACTTAATGTCCTGCTCCAGGGATTAGTCTGGTATGATAACAAGTGCAAAGAGCTAGAGATGAAGCCTTGCCATCCTCGTTTCCAAAGAGTATTCTGGCTGTACTTCATCTCACACAGCTTTTGTGGGGGGAGGTCAGATGATGCACAGGCATTCCCTCCCCTGAGGGAATCAGTTGCCAGACTGCTGTCTCATCCCTCCACAGGGGTGGGCCTGCTCCCTGCCTCTGGGGACAATGGACAGGCTCCTGTAGGAGGGGTTTGCACCCTACTGATAATGTTCCAATGGAGACCCAGAGACCACCCCCTAGACCACCCTCTCATTGCTATGTAACCTATAGTGCAGCCCCTTCCTGTGACGTATGTCTCTACCTGTAATTAGTGGGCTGGCATGCCCCCAAAAGGTATATAGGCATGGGTCAGCAATATAGGCGGGAACTTCTCTCTTGGACTCTGACCTCCCTGACTCTCTTCCCCCTCTCCCTTGTTCCCTTTCCCTCCTTCCCTTCCCCCTCTCTCCACGTGGACCACCAAGCTGGGCTGAGGTGAGCAATGTTGCTATGTATCATGCCTGACTGTATTATTGTATTATCTCTCATGCTCTCGATTACTTTAATATAATACTTATATATCTCAACCGTACAATTGTGCATTACTGAACCCAGAAGTAGTATTACTGAACTCGTAGGAGTAGCAGCGGGTGGGGGCTGGGTTCCCTCACCCTCCATATGCGTCAATTATTTTTTTTAATTTAATACTACAAGCTTTGTTTGTTTTTCTTGCAGTCCACAGCACGCTCAGTATTCTTCTGGCTTCTGTTCAAAAAGGGGATGTGTTCAATTTCTATTAAGTGAGATGTCAGCTGTTGGCTTTTCATATATGGGCTTTATTATGTTGAAGAATTTCTATTTTACCCCACAGTGTTTTTAATCAAGGATGAATGTTGAATTTTATCAAATGCCTTTTCTCAGATTGATATAATCATATTGTTTTTATCCTTTGGTTGGTTGATGTGGTGGATTGCATCAATTGTTTTCCTAATAGCGAACCATCCTTGCTGTGTTAAGCCGGTTGACTAGAGAAACATATCCAGTGACACCCATATACGTATAACAGCTTTATAGCAAGAAATAATTATATACCAAACTATCCCAACCCAAGTCCATAAGTCCAATACCAGACCTCAAGCCCCTCTTCAGAATCACGCAACCACAAGTTGTCGCAAAATGCAGGAACATCACATCACAGATTCAATGGCAGTAGACACATGGCAGCAATCAGGGTCGGCCAGCAGGAAGGGGAAGGCAGAGAGCGGAGGAGAGGTTCCCAGGGCTCTCCTATGAGAAGGCCATACCACAAGGAGGCACCATCAGGGTGTGACCTGATTGACAAGCTAAACTCCACCCCTACACTTTTCTATATCATCACGTTGACATGAAATTATGTTAACTACCAAATGTGCCTACCTAAAATGAATCCTACTTTTATCATGACTTTTTTAAATGTTTTGTTGAGAGTGACTCACTCTCTCACTCATTCACTCTCACTCACTGACTCACTCTCTTACTCACTGACTCACTCACTCTCTCACTTACTCACTCACTCTCATTCACTCACTCACTCACTCTCATTCACTCATTGTCACTCATTCTCACTCACTGACTCACTCACTCACTGTCTCACTCACTGACTCACTCTCTCACTCACTCACTCTCACTCACTGACTCATTCACTGACTCACTCTCATTCACTGACTCACTCTCATTCACTGACTCACTCTCTCACTCACTCACTCTCACTCACTCACTAATAAGTAAATAAAAGAAAAAAAATGTTTTGTTGAATCATGTTGACTAGAAATTTGCTGAAATTTTTGGCATCTATATTCAGACAGGTTATTGGTCTATAATTTTCAATCTTGGTGATGTTTGGTTTGGGTATCTGAGTTATACAGGCTTTATGAATTAAGTTTGGTAGTATATTGCCCTTTCTTATATTCCGAAATAGTTCGTGTAGGATCAGTATTAACTTTGCTCTAAATGCTTGGTAGAATTCCCGGGTAAAACCATCTAATCCTGGACTTCTTAACGCTGGGAGTTTTTTTGTTTTTAATACTGGGAGTTTTTAATGACATGATCTATTTTGACTTTTGTTATATGCCTGTAGACGTTTTCCACGCTAGTTTGTGTTAATGTAGGTAGGTAGTATGCTTCCAGTAATTTATCCATTTTTCCTAGTGTGACAATCTGTTTTATCTCAGTTGGTTCTGTTGTGATGTTGCCTGTTTCATTTCTTATTCATTTGTAATATTTACCTTTATTCCTTCTCTTTTGCTAGGTCAAGTAGGGGTCTCTCAATTTCATTAATCTTTCCAAATAACCAACATCTTGCCTAGATATTTAAAATTTTCTGATTCATTTATTTCTGCTCTAGTCTTTACTGTTTCTTTTGTTCTAGTATCCGAGGATTTGTTTTACTGGTCCTGTTCTAATATTGTAGCTGATGTGCGAAAATGTTTAATTGTCTTCCTTAATGATGTATACATTTACTGCTATACGTTGTCCTCTCAATATTGCTTTTACTGTGTACCAGAGATTTTAGTACGTTGTAGTTTCACTCTCATGTGTTTCAAAACTTTATAAATTTTGTTTATTTGTTCATTTACCCAGTAAAGTACTGTTCAATTTCTATGTAATTGGTTTTGGGGAGGGGAGGGGTGTGGATTTTCCTGTGGTCGTTAGGAGTCCTGGTGGCATAATAGTTAGTTGCTGGGTCCAAAAGGTCAGCAGCTGGAAACCACTGGCTGCTCTGCGAGAGAAAGAGGGCTTTCTGCTCCCCCAGAGCTACAGTCTCAGGAACTAACGGCAGCTCCACCGGGTCCTACATGGTCACTATTCACAGGAATCAACTTGATAGGAGTAAGTTTGGTTGGTTTCGTTTTTGGTCCAATGGTTGATTTCTAACTGTGGAACATGCTGATCTGAAAAAAAATGGTTTTCATTATCTCAATGTTTTAGAATTTACTGATGTCTGCTTTATGACCTAAAATATGATTTATTTTGGAGTATGTTCCATGTGCACTAGGGGAAAAAAATATTGCACTTTTGTTGGGTAAAGTATTCTTTATATGTCTAAGTCAATCATGATGATTAATTATGTTGTTTAATCTTCTGTATCTTTGTTGATTTTAATTCTAATTAAGTGGTTTTTGCCCAAAAGTGATGTATTAAAGTGTCCCAGTATTACTGAATTATGGTTTGTCTCTCCATTTTTATGAGAATTCAATTAATATATTTTGAAGGTCTTTCATTGGATGCAAAGATGCTAATTATATAGTTATTTAAATATTAATAATGTAATTATTTGTAATTGTAATTTAATTTTAATTTATAATTATATTATTAAAATTAAATAATATAATGGTGTTTTCTTGTCCAATGTGGGTTTTATCATTATGATAATGGCCTTGTCTTTCATGGTGGCTTTTACTTTGAAGTGCTTGTTGAAAAATCAA